GCTAAACCAGACAAACCATAGGTAGCTCCCTGCTCCCATTTTCTCCCATGGAACGGCACACCAGTCAGGCATCAGCTGGGTCTGCACAGACATGGCAGTGGTTTCATTGCTAATGGAAGTCCAGACAGGCTCCTTGCAAGCTTACAGACCCGAGGAGCGGGGTGAAAGGAGGAGGGCCTAAGAGTGGGAAGAGTACTGAGTCAGAGTGTAGAAATGGGTCTTCAGGTTTACCCCTTGCCCTCCTCCTAGAAGCAGGTCTCAGCAGAGGCCCCTGAGGAAGGCTTCTCCCAAAGCCCCTGACACAGAGGCACTGGGCTAGGACTGAAGCTGTGAATAAGAGCCTGAGTTGTGGACTGCAAGTCTCACTAGAGACTGCAGTGCAGCAAGTCTGGTCCAGGGAGGCCAGCTTTGTTCCATGAACCTGCCAGGTAAAGCCTTTGTAATTACCTATGTTCAGGCCTGAAAAAAAAAAAAATCACACAGTTTTGGGTTTTGTTTTTTTACCAAGGAGTCAGACACCCCAAAAATAACCTCTCACTGAGGCCCTTTGGGCCAATTCAATACATGTATCATGGATCTATTATTTACCTGAACTTTTCCTTCCAATTAAGTTCACGTTCAAGGACTGTCCCTTCCTGGGTGGCCCAGCAGAAATAATACTGAACTCCAGGAGAGAGAAACCACAGCTTCAAAGACTTAATGGCTGCCTAAATTCTCACAGGCCATAGCCAGGTACTATAATGGAATCAATTGCCCGACAATCACCAAAGACACCTTTGTACAAGAGGAGGAGGTTATTAGTCTGCTACTAAGCTTTGAGACTGAATGCCTCTTTGGTTTGACATTCTCATTTGGAGGTGGGTCAATTTGGACTTGATGACTAACAAGGTGAAAAGGACCCAACAAGCCTCCCAAGTCAAAACAAATAGCATATTCAAGGGTGTAGCTGGCCTGGCCCTAGCAGCTTTTGGTACTATGATAAAATGGCAGCCATTCCTTTGGGGGTAAACTTTATGCCCCGCTCTGCCACCTAAAACAAAGCCGCTGGTTTGGTGGGGCTCTTGACTCACAGACGTTACCTGAAGTCCCGGGTCTAGATCCCTGGTTGGCTAACCTGAAACCTAGTGTGGTCCAATGGGCTGTGGGCGTTCAGCCTCAATGCCAGCCGGGTAAAACCAGAAGCAGATACGGTCCTTCCTGTCCGTGGCTAGAACTCAAAGCAGTGCTCATGACTGGCCAGTCCTCCCCTTGACGAAGTTCGATACATTTTTACTGACTTTTGGATGGTTGCCAATGGCTTGTCTGGTATACCAGCTCAACACCTATAGGCTGGCAGATTAAAGATACCTGTCTCCGGGCATTAGACTTAATAAACTGCTCAACTTCCATTAACAGTTAAAGAAATGAGTATTAAAATTAGATACTTTTTCCTATCATATTGACAAAAATGACAAGTTTAGCAAAATGCAGTATGGACCAGAGAATGGATGCAAAGTTATTTCAAAACGCTGTCAGTGACGTGTAAAATGTTCATCATTCTCAAAGGCAGCTTGACTGAAAATGCACATACACACTGGCTGAATGATTCTATGTATCTATACTGAACAGAAATAATCCAACATATAAGAGGCACGTACTAGCATGTTTCTAAAAGTGAGAGTAACCCTCCATGAAGTTTTGCTTGTGCCTTCTCTCCCATTACCTACCATTTTATTTCTTTACCATTCCCACCAAACTTTAATATTCAAGAATCTATACATACATACCTGTCATCTTTGAATCTCCCCAGGATTCCACTGAAACGTTTTTTTTTTTTTTAAAGATTTTATTTATTTGACAGAGACAGTGAAAGCAGGAACACAAGCAGGGGGAGTGGGAGAGGGAGAAGCAGGCTTCCCGCTGAGCAGGGAGCCCGATGTGGGACTTGATCCCAGGATCCTGGGATCATGACCTGAGCCGAAGGCAGACGCTTAACGACTGAGCCACCCAGGCGCCCCACTGAAACGTTTTTTTTCACCATAACATTAAAACTAATGTCCTGTGACTCATCTTCATCTTTTTCTATCACTATACAGTGGTCAACAGAGATTGAAATTACAAGTCTACTAGGTGCTTTCACATATAATACTGCACAGAGTAGCACAGGACCTCATATAACCCTTTGAAGTAAGTGGTATCAATCCTCTTACAGATGAGGAAACACACTCAGATCATCTTGCCTGATACCACAAACAACAGTTCAGGGAAACACACCCAGAGTATCTAAGTGCCAAGTGCAGTGCTTGTGCTACTAATGGCTGGTCCTGGAACTCTTGTACTTGTGTCCTTTATAGGTATTTTTCTATTATTTAACAAAAGCAAAGATCAAGATTAATTAGTATCAGGCTTAACATACTCAAAGACCAAGTATTATTACTTTCTAGAAGCATATAAGAATAAGCTCATCTAAGGATTAAAAAGTACGTGTTCCATTAATTCAAATTCCCACATCTATAGTTAGTACTAACTTAGATGGAAACAACCAAGCAAATACTGTTTCGTAGCAATTGGCAGACTTTAATATTCAAGAAAAATTAAGTCCATCATACACATTAAAAATATAGGAAATTTCATGCAGACATGAAGCTTCCAATTCAGCCTTTGTGGCAACTTTTAGAATGAGAATTACATATAAATACAGTACATTTTACAGTTCCCAAACTTCATAATTTTATACTGTGATTTATACAGCTTCTCTATATTTTACATTTCCCATCTTGCTCACTTGATTAAAATACTCTAACCTGCACTGCTTCAGAATATGGGGGGTTGGGGGGAGGGAGGGAAGCAAGCACAATGACCTATTTCCTCCTGCTTTATGAAAATGAATGAAAACATTTGTATATAAAGCTAATATAAGGAAAAAGAACAAAAATTTTTTTAAGGCTTACATACTTTAGTAGCTAGGACTACACATAAGAAATATAAAATTAAATCCTCCAGTGACATTTCTATTATTGATTGATACCACAATTTTCAAGTTTAGAATACATTAACTACAAAAGCAATGAGAAAAAAAGTGATGCAAATTTGTGTAGAATATTTGAAAAACAGTAGTCATGATATGAGAAATTAAAAACAAATGAAATAACTGATTTCAGAATTAACTAAAACGTAAGCTATAATTTAGAAATATAAGTAACATTATTAAAGAATAAAACCTGATAGCCAAAATTTTAAGTAATAAAGCCAACTCCCTGCTGTCAACATATTTTTGCCTCTGAGAAAAGATCATTTGTTCTGATACAAGTAAAAAAGTGAATACCAGTCAGTGAATAAAAAGGCTTTCTACAGTACTCAAAAACAGCATGCATTCCTTTCCTTTCAATGGATTTTTTAAATACTTAGGATCCTTTTAAGCTTTTTTTCCTTAAACAAAACCAAATTTGGATTTTTTCCCCCTACCAATTAATTTAAAATTCATTCATGTGGTAGTTAATGAGAATTCTAATAACTGAACATCTGTCAAGTATGGGAGGGGGGAGACACAAAAAAGAGAAATCGTTTTTGGGTTGTTTTTTTTTTTAACTCAAGAGGCTACAGGCTTCCACAATTTAGTAAGTCAAATAATCTTCATAGAGCCCTTTACGGCCTAACAGGACCAAAGGCCACAAGAGCTCCTTACTGTCCACAGAAAAGCTCCTACTAGTAAGATGCCAAACTGCGCAGACTCCCCCAACCTAACTAACAAAAAAGGCCTAAAGATTCACAGGTAGGTTTTCCTACTAGGACATGACATTAATCCTACAGCACATTATTGAAATTAAGTCTATCTGATTCAAATTGCCACAGAGGTCATTTAATGCCATCATAATCACCTGTGAAAATATCCAACAAGAGTACTTCCTTTTCCCAAGAAAGGTTAAAACATTAAATTAGTCATCTCTGCTTTCCAAGCTACTGGAAACAAAATAATAAACATAAAAAAAATACAAAGGAAAACTCCATCCAATAGAAAAGATCTGCTAGAGGTAGAAATTTAAAGCAGCAGATACTGTTTTAACTCCAGCTATCAGGGAACAAAATTGGTGTTAATCTGAAATCACATGAACGGCTGCTTCATACAATACTGAAGACACAGACCATGGGCAGTAATTTATCCCTGAATTTCATATTCAGAATTTCCCCACGGTAATACCATCATGACAGTTTAACTGAAAAAGAAAAAAAAGTGCTTGCTTTTGTGATCCAGGTAATTTAAAGAAAAGACACTATTGTAAACATCCACTGACAGACTGTATTCACTTCTAGTTTAAAATCATACATTTCAAATGGGAGATTTTATTCTCATTTCCCCATTTTCCGAGCAGTACCTTGAATAAAGGCTTTTGTGCCTCACTTAAGAGTGCTGAGATCTCATACATTTCAGAGTGATTCATGATGAGTATGCTTTCAAATAATGTTCAGTTTAGTGTGCCCAAAAGACTAATTTCTCAGTTACTTGAATGCCTGAATGCATTTTACTGGCCTGTGAGCTTATTAAATTCAGCATTTCATAAAAATGAAATGGTTGATGCTTCTCTAAGTTCAGCTGAGCTAGAAAAAAATAATTTGAATGATAAAAGGACAGACACACATTCTATGTATGGATTGCTTAGGTCCAACACAAACAAAAGTCCCAATTCCAGATGCTGAATGTGACAGAGGATCCTCAGACTCTTTTAAAAATAACCTGTGCAATGCACACAAAACAAAGAGATTTGGGGGACTTCAATACTAGTAGTCATTAATATGGCAGACTTGCAACAGACAGCTTCATGAAGACCACTGGAGATAAAGTTTTTTCTACTGAAAGACAATTCTGGGCTTCAAGGAAAAAGTATACTTGAAGATATTTCCTCCGTTTTTACTTCTGTAGTACAAATATGCATGGCATAGTATATTTCTGAAAAAGCGATAAGACGTATTAAGAAAATAGACGCTATTTCTAAATTTTGTTAGGAATAAGAAGGCACCACTGATTTGAGGTTGTGTCCTGTCATTGGGATAGTTGATTTTGAGTTGTTTATTTCAGCATTTGCTCTTATCAAACTTTTTTCTGCTGATACCACTTGAGAACGTTACTGTGGTTTACGGACCACAAACAAGACACATTCATAGTAGTATTTCATCATGGAGAGATCATTCACAGTATATGTTGACAAGACAGATTCTTTTTCCACCTGGAATGCAAACAATAATCATAATGATGATGATGATGATGATGACCATGATGATAACACAGAGTACTTGTTTAGTACAGTGTACTATTTTAAACATACTCTGTTTATTAATTCATTTATTACATACAAATACCCCCTTAAGATTGGCATTATTAGTAATCGCACTTTACAAAGGACAGATTGCTCATGGTCACACCACTAATAAGAGCTGGAGCTCTACATGACTCTGATATATTGTTTCTCTTCAATTTTAAGAACAAATCTGTTGTTTTAACTTTTTTAATGAATGAAATGGTTTTAAATAAACACACAACTAAAACAAGTCAAAGTATCATAAAACCTTATAATCACATGATAAAAAAGACTGAACACTACAGAAGTACACACAGTGAACAGTATCACTGCCCTCCCCCCTTCATCTGCTCTTCCAGACGCTAGTCGGCTTGGTATCTCTACCAGGGCTGATATTGTGATAACGGTAAGCTACCATGTACTGAAAGCCGACTGATGACACCAGGGATTATACTTTTCCATTTACTTACACATTATGCCAAATCCTATTAATTCTAAAAGCTAAGTATTATTTTCACTTTATGGATGAGAAAACAAAGAGATTAAGAGGTAAAGCCAGGAACTGTCGTAATAGTCCCATTCCTGTCTAAGAGCATTGGGAGTGAAACTTGATTCCATCCTCACCTCCACCTGGAATCCATACTGCAGAACGACGTTTTTTATATCTTCATAGCTCAATTCTATGGAAAGTTCATTTGCCAAATTTTCAAAGTGGTACAGCAGAGGACCTACGGTTTAAAGATATTATGAATTACTTAAATATGAACATGCACTAGTTGCTGTGTTAGAACTCCAAGTTGAATCATAAGATAGGTAGTATAAGAAACAAACATAAAAGGGAGAAGAGAACCTTTACATTTGCCAAGGGCATGTGTCCAGACCCCTGAAACTCTGGCCCATTCAAGTGCTGGGCCTACACTCGTGGGGAGGGAGTCCCTCTGGTGCACCAGGGTTGCACTGTGATTCTCCACATACGCGCCTTACACCTGAACTCTTAAGTTACTGAAGGAGCAACTGGATCAGAGAATGCGAAGTCCCTAAATTCCAAAGGTATACTGTAATTGTAATTCCTTAAGTAAAGGCACAGCTGCAGCTACAAACTGGGTATCATGTGAAAACAGAAGGGCCCTCAAACTAGCCTAGGTCTAAGAGAGTGTGTGGGGATGGTGGGAAGTTAGAGGCAAGGCTTCCTGGAAGGAAGACATGACACCAGAGCTGGCTTTTTAAGGGCACAACTCACATCCCAGCTCTAACACTTACTAATGGTGTGCCTGTGGGCAAGTCACTAGCTCTGCTCCATCTAATATGACTTCAGTGTGAGGTAACATCCTATATACCTGGCATAGAGAAGGCATTCAGTACGTGATAGCAATCACAACTTTTTAAAATGACATTCCCCCTTTACTATTCTCTCATTCCACGTATCCAAGGAACTATCATCTGACTCAAAGCAGAGTCTCCAATCTTTCAATTGCTCACATTCTGCCCAATCCATCATCAGCCTCATCCAGGCAACACTATCATTCAATAGTTACTTCAGGACTAATCTAAACAATCTTCTCTTTACCTTTCACTGGGTTAACTACAGATCCGGTGCCCATCTCACCACTCCTACCCCTCATACAATGTGCTAGTCACAGGAAATGAGAGTAACCACAGGACAGTTTGTCCTCCCAAAAGGCTCATCACTCTGCGCAACATACTAAGAGTTAAAACATTCTTCTTCCTCTCCTCTTTTTTACCCTACATAAACCACTAGGAAAAACGACTATGAATATATATGTTAATACTCTTTTCAGAAGAAAATAATGGTTCATCATCAAACTATTCTGCCAAGCTTAACTTCCTGTTAGTTTTATTAGTACTACTAAAAATGACAGTAGCTACCATTTATTGAGCACTGCTGTGTCCTAGACCATCCCGAGGCCTTTGAAGCCTTGTTATAAACATGAAGAGCCTCATAGCAGTCTGCCCAGCTCTAAAGTGTATGATGTTCCTGCTCCATTATTTTAAGAGCCTCCAACATTATTGTCTTCTTATGTCTAAATAAACACTCCAATGATTCTTACACACTGTGGTCATATTGTACCTCTACTCATGTTGTGTTCCACCTAGAAGGCTCCAACTCCCCAACTCAAGCTTTAGCCATGCTCCAAAACCTTGCTGAAACCAAGTTTAAAAAAAATTTTTTTTAAAGATTTTATTTATTTAACAGAGAGATAGACAGGGAACACAAGCAGGGGCAGAGGGACAGGGAGAAGCAGGCTCCCTGCAGAGCAAGGAGCATGATGCGAGGCTCGATCCCAAGACCCTGAGATCATGACCTGAGCCGAAGGCAGACGCCCAATGACTGAGCCACCCAGGCGTCCCTGAAATGGAGTTTTAATATAATCCACCCAAGTTCCCAGCCCTACTGCTCACTCTCTTAATATAGCCTACTTTAAAATTCATGTAATATAGTATGGCATTGCTCACTGATTATTTTTCATGTAATCTGCACTTTTAACCAGATTACAAGCTACATGAGTAAAGGAACACATCTTCAGTTTCTTGTGAGTCCACCATAATGCCTAGCATCGCAGTGTACAGTTATACATCTGTAATTTTACCACCCAAATATAACCATTACAGTTGTGTATTTTTTACAGTCTATTACAGATGGTTCTTCGACAAATATCTCTGTGTATATTTTAGCCTTCTACAGGTATAATCAATCTAACATTTCTACATACCATTCTCTATTAAAAAGAACCAGGGGGGCGCCTGGGTGGCTCAGTCGTTAAGCGTCTGCCTTCGGCTCAGGTCATGATCCCGGGGTCCTGGGATCGAGCCCCACATCAGGCTCCCTGCTCCGTGGGAAGCCTGCTTCTCCCTCTCCCACTCCCCCTGCCTGTGTTCCCTCTCTTGCTGTGTCTCTGTCAAATAAATAAGTAAAATCTTTAAAAAACAAACAAACAAAAAGAACCAGGGATCCTTGGGGGGTGGGGGAGAATGGCTGCTCTCAGGGCCTGACAGAGAGAGTACAAGAGCTTGGAGCACTGGTGGTGCCAGAAAGGAGGCGCTCAAACAGGGACAGGGACATGTCAAACGGACACAGGAGAAGGAGGTCCCACATGCCAAATCTGGGACAAGTTAATTTAAACCATTTATCTCCTTAAGGTTCTAAAAATTCCAGTTAAGAGAGACTGTTATATTGGATAACAAAAGGTAACTATGCTGTTTTTAAGACACATCTAAAACAAAGATATAGAGAGGATTTAAGATACAGAAAAAGATACACATTAACTAGAAGAAAGCTTGTGGTAGCTATCTTGAAATGCCCACTTTAAGAAACATGGCTTACAATTGTTCAAAACAAACGAGCTGGCACTCAAACCTCAGCAAAAAGTTCTATGGCTGGGTAGGGAGCTCTTGTGGGTCCAGGTCGGGGGGTGTGTGTGGTCACTGCCCGCTCATTTTCCAATCTCCTTCTTTTCTGTCCTACATCTCACCCTCACTGTCTACTAGGTCATGTCTTCATAAATTGTATTCTTTCCCATTCACTTTTTCCAGTACATTAAACTTCGGGTCTTTGCCTGAGCATGGACTGGAACAGGCATAAGGTAGGCATCTTGGTTACTTGGTTACATAGGGGTCAAGATCTTCAACTTCTGTTTTTCCCCATATAGTCACTCATATTCCAGAATTATTCCAGGTCCTCCATAGAGCCAGGCATTTTCCAGGGTTACTGCAGCTCAACCGGCTCTGTTCACACTGGGTTTTTTGCAAAACTCACCCAGCTACCCCATCTGAAAAAATGTTACATTTTGCTGTCTCCTGATGACCTCCCTGCCATTCTCTGACATTGTTTTAGACCCTTTTTCTATTTTTACAACCACTGTAACAAGGTCTCAGTGTGTAAAGGAGGTAATGTGTCCGTTATCTACCTTTTACAGGAAACCTCTCATGTTTCAGAAAATATCCAGCTTTAGAATGCTTGAAAACTTGTTAGGACTCATTACACTTTATAAAGCTCTCCTTTGGTACTTGTGAGATGATAGAAAATATACACACTGGTCTCTGGCACCGGGCTCCTGAAACCCTTGTAATTTCCTAAGTGATAAGAACACTAGGACATCTTTTGTTCAAATATTAGGCCTCTGACTCTGGTCCCTGACACGGGGCTCCTGGACAGCTACTGGATGAGGCCTAGTCACCAAAGAGACCAAGCCATGGTTAGAAGCTTGGATTTTCAGCCTTGCCCCACTATTCTCTTAAGAAAGGGAGAAGGGCTAAAATGGAATGACTGATCATGCCTACATGATGAAGCCTCCATAAAATCCCAAAAGCACGCAGTTCAGAGAGCTACTGGGATGAACATGTGGAGGTGCTGGGACAGTGGCAACACCAGGACAGAGCATGGAAGCTCCATAACCCTTCCCAGATCCTCTGCCCTATGCATCTCTTCCATCTGGATGTTCATCTGGATCCTTCATATCCTTTAATAAAATGGTCAACCTATGTGTTTCCCTAAGTTCCATGAGCCACTGTAGCAATCAAACCCAAAGAGGGGGTTGTTGGTACCTCCAATCTGCAGCCTATAGATCTACAGTTGATCAGAAGCACAGGTGACAGTTTGTGACTAGCGTCTGAAGTTGTGGGAGTGGAGGGAGGGTCCTGTGAGACTTAACCCTTCACCTGGGGTATCTCACAGGTAGACAGTATCAGGACTTAAAGTGTAGGGCACCCAGCTGGTATCACAGAGAATCGCCTGTAGAGGAAAAAAACCCCATTTGGTGACTAGACGTGTCAGACGTCTGAGTGTTTTATTATATGAGGAATAAAGGAGACACACAGAGAAGAACTGGGTTTTTTCCCCACATAGGAAGGAAAAAACGGCGGGTCTTTCTTTTTAGTACTTTAACCTGTTTATTCTTCCAGATGAAGTTAGATTCCGTCTGCTAAATGCCTGCCCTCCACTACTGGCCTGTAAACGCATCAGTGCATGCATATGCACACCCACACACAGGCTGTATAATAAATTACACATACATGGGTTTAAGGGTCACCACGAAAAACTGAAGAACAGGATGCACAGGCACTTTTCTACATTTTGCTAAATCATAGCCCTTCCCAAAGGACACAGGCAAACAGTTATCTTAAAAAGCTCACTCTCACTAGCTTTCCCTAACCTGAGGAATATTAGAGTACTTCAGATCCCCCTTAAAGAGGTTTTTAAATTAACAATATTCCCACTTGTGATTTCATAGAATGTAGACAATATCCTCACTGTAATTTAACTTCCAATGTAGCTTTTCAGTATTCCATTATGGCTAGCAGGGACCGTTCTCATTCTCTAGGAATATAGTGACGTTAAGGTCTTGTGTCAGCATGGTTAGGGTGAAATCGTCCCCCAGGGGCTGATGCACTCTCAGTTTACAGATAAAATTATTTTTCCAGGTCCATCTGACTGACGCCAAAACCATGGGAATGTTACCAATTTACTAAAGAAATGCCACTTTGTCCTGTCTCCTGGCAGCCAGTCTTCTGTGGCATCTTAACATTACTTTGCTTCTGCCTTCAAATTTTGAAACAATACACTCATACACAGAAGTTAATGAAGAGCCACTGGTCATCAGGCTCTGCAGGAGCTAAAGAGTGAGTATTAGCTTCCAGCCCTCACTGAGCTCAGAGACTACTAGAGAAAACAAAAACATATGGGTGGCAACACCATGTTGTGTTAAATGCTCACGGATTCTGTGAGAATATAAAAGAGGAATACAACAAACATTTATTCCAGCCTGAAAGGATCACCTCAGCTGAGTGTTAAGAGCACCCAGAAAAAAGCCAACATGGGAACAGAGGGAAAAGAGAAAGGGCATCTGCAGTCAGGGCCAGGGCAGTGACAAAACAGAAATAACGAAGCTAAGACACAAAGATCACAAAGGGCACTATGCCCAACCCTGAAGCGTTTCAGGTATCTAGAAAGCTAGAATTTTATGTAGGGAGTATGACAGGAATAGATTCATGTGTTAGGAGGATCATTCTGGTGGTAACATACAGAGGACTAAAAGAGGCACAGAGGGTTGGAGACAACTTGAAGGTGGGGCTACCCCAATGGAACTGTTGCAGTAATCCGGGCAAGCAGTGATGGGGGCCTGAACTAAGGAACTAGCATGAGGTTGGAACAATGGTTCTCAACTGGGTTGATTTTGCATTTCCGTCATCACAACTGGGTGGTCCTGCTGCAATAGAATAAGCAGAAGCCAGGAATGCTGCTCACCATCCCACAGTGAGCAGGACAACCCTCCCTCTCCACACCCTCTGCATGAAGAACAGTCCAGCCCCATATGTCAACGGTACCGCTGCTGAGAAACCCTGGGACAGAAGGAAATTCCAGACCTACGGAGGAGCTTTAGGAGACATGCCCTGTGCACTCACTGCATGCAGATGGTGAGGGAGTAGAGGGGAAAGGAGGACGCACAGGTTTCTGGTTGGGGGAATCTGCGTCAACGATGGATCTGAAAAGACAAGGGGTTTTCTTGGATTTTGAAGTATCCAAGTTGGTACCTAGTGGCTTGGACCATGACAGATATTTGGACCAGAGATACAGATTGGGGAATGAAAGAAGAGGAGGAGCCGCGGTAGGAATCACACCGAGTAAGGGATGAGCACAGGGCATGAAGAGTAAGAACACTCTTCTGAACAGATACCCAGAGCTCACCAGTCCAAGAGAATCATCATTTTTTAAATTCTTCAGCTTATACATGTAAAGAATTTTATTTGGAAAGTACTAACCTTCCAAATAACTATTTTTAAGGACTATGCTTCTCCATTATTCCAATGCTCAGAATTGTTTTGGAATTCTGCGGTATGAAGAGTAGAAGCTCTCCTAATTGACCCTCCCCCCTAACCCAAGTGCCCTATTACCTCATGCCTGGGACAGATCACAGCGCAGCCCAGCATGTCTGCTCTTATCAAACAGTAGGCTTATGAAGAGCCAATTTTATTTGTTCCGGGCAGTTAAAATTACTGTTATTACATAACTAAGTAAAATATTAATAAACCAATTAAAATAAAAGTTCAAAAAGAAAAGTTCTTTCTGTGAAAGTTAATGCTTTGGAAATACATGAAACTTTACCACAACTCAGTAATCGAAGTCAGAAATATTACATAATTAACATGAACTGTTAGGCCCAGGATGAGCCTGCAGAATTATCTGGTTAGGCATTTAAGGGGTTGGATCTGAGCTGTGAGCCTGTCTCTGCCATATATATAAGCTCCGGGACGCCACTGCTAGTTACTTACAGCGAGATTCAGACTCATCAACTATAAAAATACCATCTCAACATAGGGTTGTTTTGAGATTCAATAAGGTATTTGCTCACCCACAGTGGTAATGCAGTTGACCCTTGAACATCACAGGTTCTAACTACACAGGTCCGCTTCTACACGTTTTGTTTTGTTGATAAAAATACAGCACAGTACTGTCAATGTATTTTCTCTTCCTTATGATTTTCTTAGTAACATTCCTTTCTCTAGCTTACTTTACTGCAAGAATACAGTATATAATACATGTAGTATATAAAATACACACTAATTGTTTATGTTATCAGTAGGCTTCTGGTCAACGGCAGGCTAATAGTAGTTAGATTTTGGGGAGTCAAAAGTTATACACAGATTTTTGATTGTGCAAGGGGTCAGCATCCCTAAGGCCCACACTGTTAAAGGGTCAACTGTATCACATTTCAATCATTCCTTGGGAAATTTTTTAAAGAAACTTACTTTAAAGAAGTGACTCCTTTGAAAGAGGACCTAAGGTTTGGGATAACTTTCATATTATGGTTGCATTTTACAGCCACTCTCATCTGTCCCATGAAATTCTAGAGAGAAGTTCGAAAAGATCTATTTCTATCTCTAGTCTCAGTGCTAATGGCAAAGTCTGCAGTGAAGTCCAATCATTAAAAAAAGAGCACATGACATAACCCAACAACAAGACTAAACCGATCCTGACGGCCACGGACTCCAACAAGGTGTTATCTCTTGGGGCTGCCACTGCTTTGAGATGAACTCCACACTAACTGGGATACAGTCTAAAGGAAATGATACAACCTAGCACCTTTGTGAACATCTGGTACGTAAAGTTACCAAACAGAGGACAGCTATAAGTACTCAGATTCATGTATAAGACTCTAATAAACACTGAGGAACTTACCTAGATTTATCCAAATTCCACCTGGCTTGAGTATTTTCCATATTGTGTCAATATAATCAATAACATTGTGAGCTGTGTCTATGAAGAAACAGGTAGCAATACAGTCCCAGGTATCTATTCGAGGAAAACCACATTACTACATTCATTATGTTACGTTGCCTTTCCTTCTAATTACTTCTACAATGTTACCTCTTACAGATTACGAATATTTCATTTAACTGGAGGAATACAGAAGCTAAACTCTTCCAACCAACAAGGTAATTAGGGTAACCAAACAATCATTTATGAGATGCTTCACAGTTCATGAAAGTTTTTACTAATAATTTGATAATCACTTTGGAAACCATTTTTGATAGCCTATATAACAAGGTGTCTTTACCAAATGGTACTTATAAGAGTTTTGTTTATAATCTACTCAATGTCCAGCCTTCATGTCAAATTGCTTAAGATGATGTAATTGTCATTTGAATTTTAAACCGTGATTTAAGCCACTGTTAACCACCAATTCTGGCAAGTTTCAGAAAGGCTGTATGCACTTGTTGCCAAGTGAGAAACAAATGGCATAAAAATACTTAAACCGTTCACCAGTACTTCAGATAATCAGCAGTGGAAAAGGGGAACGAGGCTGTCAGTGCCCCATGGAGGCCGTGGCACGGCACAATCCAGGGACAGAGGCTGGATTCTACAAATCTCGGTGCCATAAAGGCACTGATCCCACTGAGGATGACCTTCACCATCTGCTCTCTCAAGCCCTGCTACAGAACAAGGTCACCTGTACTCGCCTAAGTGACTGTTTTCCATTATGTCACCTCTCTTTTGAGAACTTTCTCTCTATCCTATCCCCAGCACCTAACATTTTCCATCTCTCTCTTTCTACCTTCGGAACACAGGTTTTCCCAATGTCAGAGTTCAGGGAAAAATAAACAAAAACTTGACTATCTTGTTACTCCCCTGCTCGAGTCCCTCCAATGGCTTCCCACCTCTGAGTACAATCAAAGTCAGCCTCACCAAACCCTCCCCAACCTGACCTCCCACCACTGCACCCGCTGCTCACTACACCCCAGCCAAAGTGGCTTCTTGCTCTTCCTTGAGCAGAACAAGCATCCTCCCTACCCTGAATAGTTAGTTCTTCCCTTGCCACCGCTTCTGTCTGCAACATTTCCCTCCAAATATCTAATGGTTTGCCTCTTCACTTTTTCGAGGTTCTCTGCTCAACATTGTTTTTAAAGTTCTGCTTAGAGAGCCTTCCCTGATAACTCTATAAATGGCAGCCTCTCCCCAGTCACTCTGTATCCCTGTTACCCTGCCTTAGTATTCTTCCTTACAATATTAAATTTGTTACTGCCCCCTCTCCTTATTGGAACACAGATTCCGTGACCAGGAACTTTGCTTTGCTCACTGCTCTTTCCCATGCCTAGAACATACCTGGGACTTAGCAGGTGCTCAAATAAATTTGTTGAATGAATGATCTTGCTGACCTCTTAGGATACTATTTTTCTTCTTCCTTTTACTAAAGCTAATCCACTCCCCCCACCACCACCCATCTCTCCATTACCATCTCCCTTTCTCTAATGCTAGCTCAAACTTCAACAGTTTGCCAAGATGAAGTCCCAACTTCATAGCCTGATTTTAAAGGTCTTCTACAATCTGGAACCAACCTACTTTTCTAGCCATATCTCCCATTAAACTACCAAACCAACCTCTCTTTTCCTTCCAATCAGGCTATCCCACCATCCCTGATTACCTTATTCATTTATATTTTCCTACCTCTGCCTCCCTCTTCCTTTTTTCTTTAGATTTTTATTTATTAATTTGACAGAGAGAAAGAGAGCGAGCGAGTGTGCACAAGCAGGGGGAACAGCAGAGGGAGAGGGAGAAGCAGGCTCTCAGCTGAGCAGGGAGCCTGATGGAGGACTCGATCCCAGGACCCTGGGATAATGGCCTGAGTTGAAGGCAGACACCTAACTGACAGGCACCCAGGCGCTCCTGCCACCCTATTCTTGAAGTCACAGCCTTCTCTCTACAAAGATCTCCTTTCCCACACTAATCTTTTACCTTTATTATATTCATTATTCATGAACTCTTTTCACATGTGTCTTATATTAATAGACCCAACAGATTCTATATTTCTTAATGGTGGGATCTTATACTTCTTTATATTTCCCATCATTCCCTTATAGAGGAATTTGAAAATATCCTAACTTGCCACTGAAGCATATCTTATATTCTGCTATCAAAATGAATGACCAATACTTTGGCTTAGTATAAAATTAGCTCATTAAATTTAGAATAAAGAACAAGAACTTTTAAATGCTTGTTTTGGACTTACTGCATTCTGAGTAGATCTCCTGAAAATCTCCTGCTGTCATAGAAAAATTAGAACCAGGAGGAAGACTGTGGGGATCAACATCAGGGAAAAAGATGGGTCGAATCTGATCAGCTGACCTCCGGTTATTGCTAAACTGATGGATCCAGGGATAAAGCTTATATTTATTAATTTCAGAACATCTGCAAAATATGAGCACAAAATTCAGTGTTAACTAAAAATTTTACCAAGAAAATCTACTTTAAATACTAAAATATAATCTGACTGAAGATTTACTTATATAATTCATTAATACTTAAGGTGTTACCACTACACCCCAACCAATTATCTGAAAATGCACATATACACGTATGTAGATGAGTAACCAATCATGAATTAAAAGACAGGAAAAAAATTAAAGTAAATTCAGAGATATAAATGTGTTGTTCATTCACATTTTAAAAAATGTATTTCCAAACTTCCAAACTTCAAACTGAAAAACAGGCCAACTCTTTTCTCAAAAAAGTGGTATGGGTTTTGTTTGCTGCCCAACTATTCCCATTCTCTCTGTTTTACCTTCTCACCATTCCCTAACCCATACTGGACAACATATTATTTAAACAAGGCAGCTAGTTATTTTTTCCAATGCACCTCTTCTGGCTTTAAAAATAACAACTCTTTTCCATTATTTTCTAAAAGAGGCCACAGAAATTCTGAGAGATGTTTCCAACTCAATCATATGAGCATACTTGGCCATTTTATAAGAATTTGATTAAGGGAAAAAGTTATGATTGCTACACTGCACTTATTCCACTGAAGAAACAAAGGGGTGAAGAAGTTCAAGGAACAATGAGAAAACACTCCTTCCTGGGTCATTCAAAGTCTCGAAATTCTGCACAGGGAACATTTCAGTTTCATGGGATGTCCCATCATTTTCTAAAAAGTCACTTATCCATCCTGTTTCAACATTCTGTTAACTAAGAACTAATTAAAAGTGGTAATTTGTATAAGCAACGATTTTAATAAACACTTAGGATTACATATAATTAAACACTCTGTATTTATCTTCAAATTCAGAATTGTTCAAAAATAGGTAAGTCAATCTGATTCTGAGAAATTACTATTTCCAGCAAAAAGTAAATTAAATACCTGTTGAGTACAAAGTTGGAAGAAAAGAGCATAAAAAAACTCCATTCATTTCCTTGACAAGCATAACCTAGCATAGCTATTTCCCAGGCCAGTCTTCCTAGTCCAGCACCAGGTACCAGAATATTTACTTTAGAAGGATCCCTGAAATGAAATAAGGCAATTATGTCCAACCCCTCAAAGAAAAAAAAGAAAAGGCAAAATCCACATTAACAACTAAAAACTTAGATATTCAGTAAGAATAAGCTCACTCAAAATTGACTTTTTAAAAGTGAGAAATATTTCTAAATATAAATGAAAAATAAGGGCATGAGGAATTATCATATGTTCAAATATCAGATGAGGGTTTTATGCCCTAAATACTTTTCAGGAAAAAAAGGAGTCGCCTTATATCTAAAGACTTAGAAGACACTCATACACCCATAGTAGCTGTCACTTGAACAACTATCTCAAGAAGACAAATTATCCCAAAGGGATCCCAGCACACACAAAGATTGAACAAAAGCATTTTATCATGAGACACTGAAACAAAACATTATTTCTAAATTCTGTAACTAATACAACAGTTTGTGTGACTAAATAGATGAAATATATGTAGATTTTTAATGCATTAGTTATATCTTTAAGATCCTATATATTTTAGCTGGCAAAAGAATTTGGAGGGAGGGTATTCTCATGGGGAAAATGAGGACTTGCCTTCTAACTGAGCATAATTAATTGCAAGTACATCACACCAAATCACAGACTCACAACCCAACTGCTCTTCACTTATTGGCATCACACTACAGAAAACAAATTCTCTTCACTCTAAGATCCACCATCCACTTTCAAATGGCTAAAAAGCCTTAGCAAAGCAAGGGACTTTCTCAGGAATTCCAGCCAATCAATATAACCCTAAGGAAACCAAAATGGTATTCTTATAGAAAACCAAAGGCAAATGTGTATAATCAGCTGTCATCATATCAATTACAAAGAATTTCACTATTATCTGCATTCTCCAAATTTAGTTCATAAATCATAACCAACTTCCAAATCTACACTGTGGATAATTCTTTTTTTTTTAAATCTTTATACTACATGGTCTTTAAGTTTGGTGTGCTCCAAACAGCAACAGGGCTTTTTACTAGTGGCCCATATCGTAACCGCTGCCATTTCCCACTCTGAAATCAAGAAGAAACAAACAGAACTATAGGGCTTTTGGAAATTCAGTGTACAAATATAGTAACATGGCAATTTTGGCCCAGGTCATCCAGTCTTAAATATATATGTATTTGTATAAAAACCTTAACAAAGTCTACTTAATTTCACTAGTGAATTTTAAATATACAGTAAGACATAAACCAAAATTTGTTAAAAATGACTTCTGACAGGGGTGCCTGGGTGGCTCAGTTGTTAAGCGTCTGCCTTCAGCTCGGGTCATGATCCCAGAGTCCTGGGATGGAGTCCTGCATCGGGCTCCCTGCTCTGTGGGAGGCCTGCTTCTCCCTCTCCCACTCCCCATGCTTGTGTTCCTGCTCTCGCTCTCTCTCTGTCAAATAAATAAAGTCTTTAAAAAAAAAAAATGACTTCTGACCAACAGGCTTATTAGGATTAGGAGACATCCTTTAATACTTGGTATGAGCAAACTGATGCCAAGCTGCCATATAAAATGCTTTCTTCTCATTTCAGATCACACACAATGTTTGTGTGTGAACACTTTAATTGATTTAACTGATTAAATTTCTAATGAAGAGAATGGGTAACATCCTCCCATGTGGTTTAGACCTACCTGTATCAGTTATCTAACAAGCATATAAAGTATATACATATTTTTAGTATGAGAATTTGAAAAGCTACTGGCCGTACTCTATGCTACCCTTTGTATGACGGACCTGCCACTGTGGCACCCCGCCCGGGGCCTCTCTCTCACCTTCCACTTCCTATCAGACCCACCAAAACCCATACTCTCCCAGAATTACCTCTTTTCTTTTCTCAGTTCCCATTTGCCCAATCAAAACATGCATTTTTCCCAAGTGGCTGTTCTCACCTTAGATTTAAAAAAAAAAAAAAAAGGCAAAGTAATGCAACAAAAGTAAATGGATTTAGAAGTAAATTCGGAGTATTTAAATCATAATCACTAATAACATCTGGATGGCTGATGAGCTGAGTAAAAAACTACCAAGAAGAAATGAGAAATCATGCTAACCCCAAGGCAAAGTTGTGTTAATAATGGTACTGACAATTTTTTTTGTCAACTTATGCAAAGTTAACTTTATGACTGCTACTATCAAATTCTCCATACCCAAACAGGCCCACAGAACTCTTTTCCCCCCCCTTGTGGCAGAAAGTGCTGTATAAAACTGCTATTAAAAGGCTGTCATCAAGCAGAGGAATGCAGACTGTTTATCAAGGCCCTTGATTAAGAGTTAGCAAGGATTATGATAGATCTATCAATTATCTATATTATGACAAAAGAATTTCTGTGGGCATACAAAAGGAGACACATTAAAACAAATGCCCAAAATTGAAAAAAAAAAAAAAAGGAAAAAAATCAAGCTATGAATGAGGGCTATGGAGAGAATTTTTCCCTAAGTTTTTGTTCTCAGATTTTTTTTTTCATTGGGTCATTATATGAGGGACATTAACAGCATAATGGAAAGTCCCTCTAATTATAATGTGTATAAAAATAAAGCATTTTAATAGGCAGTTCCTGCTATGACTGCATGTTAACTCTAGAGCATTTCTATGAAGGTATTTCTGTGGAAAATAAGGGAAATAAAGTCTACATATAGACCTTTAGTGTGCTGTGACTTTAAGCTTGACTAAAACTTAGAAAACCAGGAATAGAGGCATATAATATCTGGCTCAGTACTCAAATGGTGCCGCTGGAGATTCTTAGCAAAAATAAGTAAGCAGACAAGTTTACCTAGTTATTAAGGTCCAACTATGAAGAAGCAGTATATTTACTACAAATGTGACACCCCTGTTAACAGCAGGAAAAGTTTCAACAGTTTATTCCAGACAAGCAAGAAGAAAGAGAGTATACTTATATGGACAGAATGTGGGGCTCCTATGTATCTAAACAGGCCGTGGCCCACGCTGGTACCACGTTCTGTGCTCCAACAATTACCAGCAGTAAATGTGGTTCCTGAGAGAGGTTTCCTTTATCGCACACAGAATAGTTTTTGCGTTGCAGCTGCAGATTAGCATGTTCCAACACACAAAATACCTTGAGTCCACATGCTGACACTTAGCTGACCTCTGGCGGTTAGGGGTGTGCACACTTTCAAGCACTCGAAGTGTTCTGTTCTGTCTGAATTCCAGCAGTTCTCTGCTCAGTACAATAAAAGCCACTCACCACTTGTGGCTATGGAACACTTAAAATGTGGCTAGTCCGATGTGATGCGAGTGCAAAACAGATGCTGAATTTCAGTATAAAAAAGGAATGTAAAGTAGCTCATTAATAATCTCACAGAATGATTGTATGCTGAAATAATATTTCAGATAAACTGGGTTATTAAAGTATATTATTAATTTCACCTGTGGCTTTTTATGTGGCTATGAGAAAATTTAAAATAACGTATATGGCTTGCATTGTATTTCCATTGACCAGTGCTTGATCCACACAGAGAAATAGTAAAAACACAGTTTTGAGCAAAAGCCAATTGTGAAATGACACCACAACCCGTTCTATGAGCTTTTACAATATAAACAATAAAATGTTTTGTTTAAAGGTATGTAAACATGTAGTTATTGTAGGAAGGTAAGATCAGAGTAACAACTTCATATTAGTTGTTACCTCTGGAAGGAGAGAATATACTGAGCTTTTCAGGGCATGGTTTCAACTGTATCTGTAATGTTTCTTTTAAAAAATACATAAAAAAACCCACACAAACAAAACAAAACCCTGAATGAAGTAAGTGTGGCAAAATTTGAAGGGTTAACAGAGCTAGGTGTTGAAATATTTTGTATTCAAAGTAGAAAATGGGGGGTGGCTGGGTGGCTCAGTCTGTTAAGCGTCTGCCTTCGGTTCACGTCGTGATCCTGGGATCCTCGGATCGAGCCCCATGTTGGGCTCCCTGCTCAGCGGAGAGTCTACTTCTCCCTCTCCCTCTGCCCCTTTCCCTGCTTGTGCGCTCTTTCTCTCAAATAAATAAATAAAATCTTAAAAAAACCCAACTACAACTGGGTTAGAAATCCCTTTAGTGTCTAGCCCCTTCAAAAATATCCCAGTTTACCTCTTCATCCACTCTCAACAAAGAACTCCCATGTATCAAATAACTTCTCACCAATTCTAGAAAACACTTTCTCACCTTAATCTTTAGAGCTCCTATACACCCACAGAAACTCAGTTTAAATTATCATGTTATCTTTGAAGTCTTTCCCAAATATCCCAGGCATGGGGATTGAATTCAATTCTCAATAATTTCAGCACGTCATACCGCTGTTATAGTTTATATACCAAGTTTTTCTATGACCCACAGGCCAGTCACCTGTTTTTGTAAATAAGGTTTTACTGGAACACAGTCGTGTACACAGACAAACTGTCTATGCTGCGTCCCACAATGGAGTCATACCCAGTGACTATACAGCCTGAATAGCCTAAAATATTTACTGGCTGGCCCTTTAAGAAAAAGTTGGACATCTCTGACCTAATGCATCTTGAACGTGTTTCCTATTTGTACACAGAGCTTCCTTAATCTGTTATGACTAAATAAATATTCCACTGCATGACTGTACCATAATGTATCTAAATCTAATTAAGGACACTTAGATTTTTTCCCAAGCTTTTGTTATTATAATGTTAAAACTAATATCCTTGGCATAAATGATCTTCCACATGCAGGAATCTGTAGAAAACTTCCCCAAAATTGAATTCCAAGAGTCAAAAGATATGATTTTAAATTCTGTTAGATATTACCAAGTTGCCCTCCAAAAGACTTTACTGATTTATTCTTCCTTCAGCAAGCCATGTTTCCTCATACCTTTAGTAAGTTATTTAACTTTTAAACTTTGCAATGTAACAGGTGAAAAAATGGCATCTTAGCGTGGTTTTCACATTTGCATATTCTTATGAGACCGAAGACCTTGTATTTCTTTTTCTATAAACTATTTACACTGTTTTTCTACTGGGTTATTAGTCTTGAATTGTTTTTCCACTGAGT